CTCTGAGCGATGAACACCACATGGTTCACAGTGATGTATTTGAGCATGGCACTTCGACCCTTGGCGGGTTCTTTCGCAAGCTGCACAATACCCCAAGCTGATGGTCCGAAGCAGATTCCAAGCGCGGCTCTTGCGATTCTGGTGCAACGCGGCCTGCTTGTTGCAAGGCTTTCCATGTCGACCAGCATTACATTCGCAGCACTGATTCGCACCTGGGCTGCCTCGAGCTTTGTCACCCTTCTCGTCATTCGCATCCTGACAAGACACAAAGGCACTGGAAGCTTGAGCGTGACCGTCTGTCCTGCCCAACACCTTCAGGCCCTGAGCAGGAAGCTGGGTGCATGCTAGAGCAACTACTCCCCTAACCCAGGCAGTGTCTTCACTTGCCTGTAGGTGCAATGCAAGCAAACTGCCATGTTGTTTACACAGCTCAACTAAGCCGAATTGGCCACGTGTCATGCACAAAATGCAGCACTGGTGAAGCAAACTGCAAACTGATTCCAGGAAGTGTGACCTAGCATCAATGCCAAATGGTGTCTTGCTGCCTCAGGCTGAGCGTGGAATGCCATGCCACAGGCTCGCCTTTCCATCTGTACTGCGTGTACCAGGTGTACTCCGCCCGAGCTTCGACCATGAGGACGAGACACAGCGTTACTGCGAAGACCTGCAAAATATGAAGGTCGACGCGCGGCAACGGCGGCAACCATGTGCAATTTGCGGTTGGCGAGCAATCCGGCAATCCCATGCCACTTCATGTGTTGAAAGCCTGCGCCTGCTCACGGCTAAAGCTGTTGGAAGATATCGAATCTGCGAAGGATTCATTGCTGTCCATCAGACGATCCCAGCCGATCAGAATGATGCAAAAGCAGCACCTTTGCAAAAAAGCAACCTGCACTACGTGGCCTAGCATCTGATTGAAAGAACTCTAAGGCAACCACATCATCAATCCTGCACGAGGAGCAAAGAGATCCATGGCAGGCTTCCTCAAGCCCACAGCGCTCATTGCATTCCTGGCAACTGGCCGTGCTGAAGCTGCAATGCTACAGGCTGCCACAGACTGCTACAGGCTGCTACAGGGTGCTACAGGGTTCAAGTTGCATGCCAGCGCATTGCAAGTTTCATATTGCACGCGCCTGAGGTGACCCATCAACCCCTGAGCTGCTAGATGGACACCAAGAAATGAATATAATAAACGTGGCCTGAGGCTTGAGCCTCTGCGTATCGCTGACTACGTGGCTTCTCAGTGCCAGGCCTTGTGCTACAACGGCTGAGCAAGAATGCACGAATGCTAGAGTACTCAAAGGCATCCGGAGCTTGAGAAACCAGCAGCATCGTGTTCCCGCGAAGCATTCTGTTATGCGACCTCATGAGTCTCAGTGCAAAACTTTGAGCGGCCCGGGGAATCGACGCCACTTGGCGCCAGTATTGAGTTTGACATGTCTTCATCCCTTCAACAAACTAAGAGCCAGACGCCAATGGCGGCATGCACGGATGTGGCTGCAACGTCTTGCACTTCCTCAATCAACCCAATGGCTGCAGTGTACTTCCAGAATCAGGCATGGCAAAAGCCAAAGCAACTCGAAAAAGAACATCTGCCAAGCAAGAAAAGACTTTCATGTGCTAGGACTGTGACGGCCCGACTGGCCCGGCAGCTTGTCGCCTGGGCAACAGTACTGTAAACATGCTAGTGTCACACTGAAGGCGTAAAAACCCTCGGGACGGCGCTCTGATGGAATGGCCTCCACGTTGCGCGTTTGCACGCGCTGCCTGGGGCTACATCTTTGTATCATTTTGTATCTGGGGTACCGAACACACCTTGCCTCGCCCGCAAGTCGTCAAGGGCAAGCCTATGGTTCACCCTCTGTGGCAATACGTGTTCCAAGCAACGCTCCAGCCTGCGGCAAATCTGAGCGGGATTTCCCAAGCGGCCGCTGTGGCGAAGGGTTTGCCAATGACAAACCTTATTGACACAAAGAGAACCCTTCCTGCCACGAAGCTGAATTCCGAGATTGAAACAAGAAAGGCGCACACAAGCAAGTCTGGCCACCTGAGATTCAAAAGCAAAATGAGCACCTCGACCAAGAACAAGTCAAAGGAATTTCACTTTCAACATTCCAAGGCGCAGGAACCCTAGCAAGGAGTGATGCACAAGGTCTCGGAACTCCATTTGCTTCACCGCTTCATCCACAAGGTCCTGAACAAATGCGGGGCTGCCTTTCCGCACTTCCTGCTCAATGGCTTGACCATATGCTTCTTATCTGCCGTAACAGCTTGTTGGAGAACAACACATTGCCTATGTTCCCACTCTCCAGGTCAAAAAACGACTGCGGAGAGGAGCAGGACGGAGGCGGTGTCCCCTCCCAATGATTGAACAATCATGGCGTGTCCAACATGTCACCATGACCACCGAGCATCTTTAGCTTCGCCTTTCGCTCTGGATTGCATGCAAGTGGTACAGTACACCAAAATGAGCTCCTGCTCCATGCTGGAAAGTCGCCGCTTTCCAGCGCGAAAGCATCGTGTAAAGTGCCGTTTGTGGCTTCTGCTTTTGAAGTCGCAAGCGTGCTTGGGCCCCACGTGGCCTTGCCTTGCCTCGTCTTGCTTGTCTCCCACCGTGCTTTGCGGATTCTTTGTATGGCGGTCGTTGCTTCAATTGGCTGGCTTGGTCCACGCCTAGCACCTCGGGTCAATGCGACGCGCCGATTCCTGCTCCTCCTTCATGCCTTTCTCCCTGTCAGCTGTTTGGCGATGTTTGCTTTGAGACCCACGGAACAATTTGCGTTCATGCCTGGAACGTTATTCAGACCGTGCCGTGTAGAGGCCCTTGAGAGTTGCTGGGACAAACGTTGGGGGGTAGACAAAATAATCGCTTGATGCTCAATGTACGCATGCCAAACCTGTTCATGCCAGCAGCCATGCCGGTGTTGCAGATTGCAATGGCTTCACAGCAACTAGAGATGCAAGAGTACATGCGCGCAGTACATCAGCATGACGAGGCCTTCTGATTGATGGCATTGATTGTGGGTGCCACCTTCATTGTGATACAACAAAGACCCTCAAGTGCACATATGCACAACGTGATGCTCCAAAGATGCCTTGATGAGGCCCAAGACTGACTCCCAAGGTACAGGAATGCCAGCTGATAGTCCATGTTCCAGATCGGCCTCACACTTTGCAGCTCTTGGCATGCTAAAACTCCAGAGCATGAACATCTGTGTGCTCTCTGCCACAAACCCGGTGCTGACACATGCAATCGCCTCCAATCTGACATAGTCAAGTGAAATCGGCCAAAGTGGCAGCTGGTATAGCACCTGCCATGGCAGCTGCACGTGTGAGGCGCACGACCATGATCAATCAAAGATCTGCGCAAATAAGTTGAAATGCGGTGTATGGGCTGCTTAAATATCTGGATGCTGGTTGACTATGAGTAGCCTGAATTCCCAAATGCATAGGTGAAACACAAGAGTTCCCTGGATCCCGTTTGTTTTTTGCGGTGAGGACTGTGGCAAGAAAGTTAATCCTATACGCGCGGAGTCATCTGAAGCTAACGAAGCAAAAAGGTACTGCACAGCTCGCGCGCGCTTGTCCGCCGACCCCTTTTGGGAAGGAGACGCATGGGAAGGGTGCTTGAAACCTGCTTCTCGTGGCCCTGCTGGTGATGCATCGATAATTCCTCCTCCTCCTCGTCATCATCGTTATCTCGTCATCATCATCATCATCATCATCACCACCATCATCATCATCATCGTCATCATCATCATCATCATGATCATCGTCATCGTCATGACCGTCATCATCCTCATCACCATCATCAACGTCGCCATCATTTGCTTATATAGACCCTCTCTGGTGATGCTGGGGCTCGCTTGCCTGTTTGTGGCACCCCGGCAACCCCGGCATCCCTTTTGCATAGAAGTAAATGTTGTTTCTTTTTGGCAAAGGCAAGCCCTCCTCGTGTTTGGCCTGTGTTGACGGGAATCCCAAGTATACAAAGCCCAGGCGGCATCCCAGCAGCTCATTTCCGACCGCGTGGATGTCTCTACAATGGCTCAACAAGTGCCTCAATCAACCTCTGTTTTTGTAGGTTCCATGCCATACATGGGTGTCCGCTCCAAACAGTCGGTTTCGCGGAAGCACCTACAACAACAAAGGGTTGTGGCTTCTGCTAGGAGTCTATGCTGCAGACTCAAATTGCTGAAGAAAGCGCCTTCAAAACCCCAGGCAACTCCTAACGAAACCCACCTCCTCTAATGTGACCGCTACTTGCCCGAACTGCGACCAAACCAAAGTGCCGATGACAAACAAAAACTGCAAACAATACGCCACCAACGCCACCTCCAAGTGAAAGTCCAACTCCCACATGATGTAACCGCTAATTACTTGCGCAAACAGCTACCCAGTCAAAACGCCGCTTCTACACGAGCAATAGGCCGACTGAAAATACAGAAGCTGCCAAACAAAGCAACACCTCCAAATGAAAAGTACAACTCCTACATAATGTAACCACTACTTGTCCAAACTGAGACCAAATCAAAATGCCGCTTGCAAAATCAAAACGCCAGCTGCAAAAACAGAACCCACCTGCCGAATCAAAGAGCAACCTCCAAAAATATGTCCAATTCCCACATGGCTATGGTGTAACTGCTACTTGCACAATCAGCTACCAAATCAAACTGACGCTTACACAAATCAAACGCAACTGCACAAACAGAAGCCGACTGTCAAATCAAAGCAACCTCCAGACGAAAGACCTTGCAGCTACCACGTCAAAATGCCGCTTACAAAATCAAAATGCCAGCTGCTAAAAAATCAAAGCAACCTCCAAATAAAAGTCCAACTCCCATATAGCGTAATCCCTACTTGCACAATCACAGCACGTCAAATGCCACCCCGAATAAAAGTTCAACTCCTGCATAATGTACGCACTACTTGCCCAGCCGACTCACAAAAACACCCAAATACCAACCGCAAAAACAGCAGCCACCTGGCAAACCAAAGCGCCACCTCCAAATCAAAGTCCATTGCCCAAGCATGGCTAAATCAAAGCGCGACCTCCCACAGAAAGTCCACCTCCTACATCGTGTAACGCTACTCGCCCAAACAGCTACCAAATCAAAATGCTGCCTGCAGACCAAAATGCCACTTCGACAAACAGATGCCACCGCCAGTTTCTGACGACACTTGTGGACCCTCCACGAAACTTTTGTCAAGCTTCCGCGGAGCGCACCGTTGCTTGCACAGACATGTTGTTGCTAAAACAGCATCTGCGCGCATTTTTGGCCTCGTTTGTCTTCCACGGCCACAGTACGGTTGATTTGGGGCTTCTGTTGCTACAATGGGCCGCGAGGCAAACCCATCCGCAGGCCGTCCGCGACTGCCGTCCATGCACAGTTTGCAAGACTAGTTTCCACCCACTTACTTGGCACATGCGCCGGGTAAAAAGAACAAACTCAAAAAAGAGTCCAACTCCTCCATAATGTAACCGAAACTTGCCCAATAAGCTGCTAGATCAAGATGCCGCTTAAAAATCGAAGCGCCAACTGAAAAACAGAGGGCCACCCTGACAAACCAAAGCGCCACCTCCCAGTGAAAGCCCAACTCCTACGCAATGTAGCCGCCACTTGCCCAAGCAGCCCAAATCAAAATGCCGCTTACAAACTCAAAAGACCAGCTGCGAAAAGAGAAGGCACCTGATAAGTCAAAGCGCTCCCTCCAAAAGAAAGTCCACCTCCGACATCGTGTCACCGCTACTTGCCCCAAACAGCTACCAAAACAAAATGCCGCTTACAAAACCAAAATGCCACCTGAACAAACAGATGCCACCTGCCAAATCAAAGCGCATCCTCAAAATAGGCTTTGTTGGCTTCTCGAATTTTTCTGATCACATGTTTGAACCTTCCACCAACCCTTCTGCCAAGCTTCCGCGGCGTGAACCGTTGCTTTCGCGGACATGTTTTGGTTGAGACTGCTTCCGCGGGCTTCCTCGGGCATGTTTCTGCAACGTTGTTAAAACGGTCGCAATCACATATAAACAATCCGCGAAGAATACCCGAGGAAAAAAACCCGGGGCCCTCCACGACTGCAGCCCCACGCACAGTTTGAAAAGCACATGTGCCTAGTCAAATTATGGAGCCCGTACCCCCCCCCTCCTTTACCCCCCCCCCTTTAAGCTTAAAGGGCTTCTCTTGCAGGGGAGGCTTAGGAAGCCTTGCGGAAGCCTTGCGGAAGGTTTGGGGAAGCCTTGGGGAAGCTTGGCCTGACATTCGCCCTGCGCATGGCGGGAACACTGACAAGAAATACCGAACCTGCAAATTAGGTTAAAGAAGCCTTGGGAAGCCTCACGGAAGCCTTAGGCAAGCCTTAGGGAAGCCTTAGGGAAGCCTTAGGGAAGCCTTAGGGAAGCCTTAGGGAAGCCTTAGGGAAGCCTTAGGGAGGCCTTAGGGAGGCCTTAGGGAGGCCTTAGGGAGGCCTTAGGGAAGCTGGAAACCTTAGAGAAGCCCTAGGGAAGCCCTAGGGAAGCCCTAGACAAAGCCGTACGGTCTCCTTGGGGAAGCATGTTTGCGGAAAGCTTAGGGGGACGCAGCACTTTCAGAAAAAACAATTCGAATCTCTTATGATTTCCCTAGGTTGGGGGGACGCAGCAAAGTAACGCAGCTCAAATGTCCGATCAAAATCAAGGGGTCTCTTAGGTTCAGCTTAGGAAGTCTTAGGGAAAATGTTGCTATATCCACTTCCTAGCCACCCTAGGGATAGGACCTAACTACCTTAAGGGGGGGGGGGTTAGGGGGGAGGGGGGGTACAGGCATTCATAATCAAAACAACGAAGCTCAAAGAACAGTCCAACTCCTACATGATGTAACCCCTGCTTGCCCAAACAGCAACCACATCAAAATGCTACCACCTGCCAAAGCAGACGCCACATGTCAAATCAACGCAACCTCGAAATCAAAGTCCAGCTCCTTTATAATTTAACGGCTACGGGCACAAACAGCTACCAAATGGACCTGCCGCCAGAACCAAAGTGCCAACTGCGAAAACGGAAGCTTCAGTCCAACTCCCACACAGTGCAACTGCCAAAATCAAACATCAGCTGCAAAATCGGAAGCCACCTGTCAAATCAAAGCGCGACCGCCCAAACTTGTGTAGACTGCAACCAAATCAAACTTCCGCTTACCACATCAAAAGCGCCAGCTGCAAAAACAACAGCCACCTTCCAAATCAAATCGCGACCTCCAAAAGAAGGTCCAACTCCTATATGGTGTAGCCGCTCCTTGCCCACTTCCTGCAAAAACAGAAGCCACCTGGCAAATCAAAGCGTCACCTCCAAGAGAAAGTCCAACTCCTACATAATGTAACCGCTATTCGCTCAAACAGCTACCAAATCAAATACCGCCTGAAACGCCAACCTGCCAGCTGCAAAACCTCCAGGCGACAGTCCAAATGTAGCTCCCATTTACAAGATGCTAGGCAAAGCAGTTAAAAGCAAACATCCCTGTGACCAAGTCGGCGCAAGAGAAAGTCGTGGCTTCCTCGTTCACCTGACACCTACAAGGCGCCTGGCCCCAATGCCTCTTGGGTAGCCCAACGCCTGCTTCGCACTTCCAAAATCTTCGAACCGTCGTGACTAGCACAGGAAGCCAATCCAAGAAGGTCAGTAGTTCGCTAGCAGGCGCGCGTTCTTTTCACAGCAAGGGACACGCACTCATTGCGTCTGGGACTTAGCCCATTCAAAGCGTCGCTTCCAACACTCGCCCAACTCCTATACCAGTAAGCGGGAAGAACCATCGTTTGAACTGTCTTCTTTCCCCCAACTCGCTCTCTCTCCCTCTCTCTCTCTCTCTCTCTCTCCCTCCCTCACAGGCGGCGGAGTCAGCAGGTGAGTGCTGATGCTAACCCCAGAAAAAGAGCTGCGTTTACTGAAGCCTGGATGTTCAAAATATGCGCCATTTGAAGAAAGTTTGTTGGCAAGAAGATGCACAAAAAAACTCTAAAATGATTTGCGCTTCATGTGAAAGGGAACCCCACTGCCCCCCCATAAACAACCCCCGGATTCCATTGGACCAAGTACTTGTGTTTCTAGCATTGCTAACCACGCCTGCGAACCAGCAACCATCCGTGGAAAGTGTTGGGGTCGACACCAGGGACGCCCCGTCACAAGTCCTACTGGGTCAGCACCAGGACCGCCCAGCAAGACCCCACTGACAGTTGCTAGTTTGCAGGTGTGGCTAGCAAAGGGTTAAGCAAGGATTACAAGACAACAACAACCAATCATCCAATTTGGAGACCTGCAAAAGGAGTTGGCTGGATTGAGCAATGCCCCTGTCAACACTTATTTTCTCGGAGTTCTAAGGGAAACTCAGCTGAAATGGGCCAAAAAGATGATCACCAAAAAAAATAATCTGTGTACCCCTGATTTCTGGCAGATCTGGCCAAATAAAACAGGCTGAACGAGTTGCTTGCCAACAAGCTGGTCTTCTCCAAAAACAATGTAAACTCCATAAACTTGGGAAACCCGAACATCATGCATCTTGTTGGGGTTGGCTTTCGCACGTGCCAGCAGTGAGCTTCCACAAAACCTCAGTCTAAAAATGGAGAAGGAAAAAACGGGGAGGGGCAACATGGTCTGGAGTCTAGACAGAAAACGCTCAACTGCTCAGATTGGGGTCGGCGGCACAGGGCGGCAGCCCTTCAGTGACTTGCACTCTTCACAATTCAAGGCCATGACAAGGGGGCAAAAAAACAAATGTGGCGCATAAATTAATAGAGCCTCACGCGCATCCACTCTGCTCTTGGCAACTTGGCAATGCTCACGTCAAAAGTGCGGTGCAATTCAGTGCACTGGTTCACGGTTTTTGTTCAGTCAGCTCTCGGGCTGAACACTCGGCTGCGTTACTACGAGCTGCCATCATTTCAACCGAAGGAATATCTCATCACACAAGTGCCAGTGCGTTCAGGCTTGCTTGGTCCAAAATGGTGAACATCTCTTGGGCGTCAGCAATGGATGTGCGCGCATGCGCCCATACAGAATCACCAAATCACTGAATGCTTCGTTTGGGTAGTTATCCTTGCCTACTTCTGCTTGCAAACGCGCAAAAGCCGCCATCTCGAAAGCATGAATACCAACAGCGCGTGCAAAAGCAAGTCAGGGGCCTCAAGGTGTAGGGGACACATGAACAGTCAGCCGCGCCGTAGGGAAGGCGCGCGCAACAGTCGGTCCAAGCCACAGTGGGTTTTTGTTTTTTCTCAGAACAGCAAAGATCATGGTCTACTGAGGGGAAAGCAACGAAAGCAACAACAACCTGGTCTGCCATGCGGCATTCCTGGTGCTTTTCATGTGCTGTAGGCGGAGCCTTCAGCACCACGATGCCAAGGTTGAAAATGGTAAGCCACTTCCTTACAGACACATCGCTTTAAATGAGCAGAATCACGTATTGCTTTCACCTAGCATTTTGCCGCATACCTCCAATACCTTCAGCTCTTTGCGCCTGCACTGACACAGTCCTCTCACTCAAGCCATCCCGGGCAGGTGTGAGTGCCCGTCTACTACATAAGCGGGTTTCGTAGATTCACCTGGGCAAGGGACTCGTACAGCACGATCGCCGGCACAGCTGGTGGGAGTGGGAGGAATTGTCCACTGACACAAAACGGCGCATTGGGTACAAGGAATGCTCCTTACCTATTATCCCTCCCCTTACCAAGCCCGCGGGGTACACACACACACACACCCGCGGGGTACAAACACCCCCGCGGGGTACAAATCCAGACCCGCCCTTTTCGTAGACTAAATCCTTTCACCCGAGAGAAAAACCTTGAGGTGTCCTGATTCCCTGGGCAAGTGTCCAACACCCAGCACCGCTATTGCATCCTCAGCAGCACCAGTGCAACATCACCAGCATCACCAACATTCCTGCAAACAGTAACAAGCATAGACCCCAGATACCGAACAACACACCGATTGAACACCGGCACCTCCAACAGCACCCCCCAAAGAGCGCCCCAAACAGCACCCCGCCATCAATCTCGCAACAATGCGCCCGCGCCATCGCTAGCACCTCCAACAGCACCCCAAACGGCATCCCAAACTCCATGCCCCCTTGCGCCCTGCTGTCAATCTCGCAAAATGCGCGCACCGTCACTGCATGCCCGCTAGCACCCGGCCTTCTTGCAATCGCCATCTGTTTGACACTTATGTTATATGGTTGATCACTGTTCGAGTAACCCCAACAAGCTTTCATGGTTTCTTGCGTCCGTGATCGTCTTGGTCTTCCCACCCTTCTGTGGTCGACTGTTCTTGGTTCTAAGGAGTTCGTAGCAAATGTGACCTGATGTCGCGGGTGGTGGCGTGGTCTTCTTGTGATGTGACCGAGGAGTTCAAACCTTTTATCATACAGTACTGCACTTAGTGGGCGAAACTTCCTCTGGAAATTCGGAACATTTGTGTCCACTCCCATCGCTTCATTCGCCCTGCGATAAACTTCTTGGTTTGCGTTAGCTCTGTCAATGTGTGTGGTCTCCATACACGGAATCTTCCTTTCCTTTCTACCCTGAGTTGGAATGTGTCCAATTAGGCGGCTGTTGCTTCTGTTGGTTCCAAACTGTAGAGGAGCTTCGAAGTGAAGACTGCGTCGTATACCTGTATTTTATATTTTTGAGGCACAGCTGCTTGCAAGAGAAACCCCGAAGGAAAGTTCTATAGGTTGTTTCTTTCCTATTTTCCCATTGGACGTTTCCCATTGGAATTGTCCCTTTAACATTTTCCCGCTGAAATTATCCCTTTGACATTCTCCCATTAAATATTGTCCTTTGCCTTTATGTCCCTGTGAAAATGTCCATTGGAATTCTCCTATCTGAGTTCTGCCTTTGCAAAGTTTCCCTTGCAATTCTGCCCTGGATTTTTTCATTGGAATTCCCCCGTGGGAACTTTCCCAGTGGAATTTCTCTGTGGAGCCATCCACTTATATTTTCCCATTGGATGTTTGCTTTTTGGCAGGTTTGTTTAGAATTCTTCCATTGGAGTTCTCCTTTTGAAATTCTCCAACGTAGGAATTGGACTGGGAGAGTTCCAAGAGGGAGCGTTTCAAAAGGCGTCCACGGCTGCTTCTGCTTCAGCTGCCCTGGACATCCACCGTCTGGTTTTGCAGGTTTTGAGGAACTTTGTGATAGCCACCGCTGCAAAACCCTTACCGCCATGACCTGGCACATCAGGTTCACCTGCTGCGCAGTGGGCAGCTTCAAGACAGCATGAGGCATCCTTGCCGGATCGAGTCTGCGCGGGGCGCACGCACAATTGGAGCCAGCTAGCTGCCGGTGAAATGACGCTGAGCTGAAGCGCCCGCCAGTCTGGCTCGTGTCGTCTGGTCTCTCACAGCCATCTGCGTCACAGCTGTTAGGTCGGACCGATGCCGGGAACCTGCGAAAAGCTTAGGGTCTGCTTTGTCACAGCTCGTCAAGCCAGGCCACTGGCGCAGCCAGCCATAACGCCAAAACTCTGGTTTGAGAGAAGGTTTGCCCAGCCACGAAGCCAACCCAAAACAACTAAAAACAACCAACAACCGAAGCACCGGACGATTCGGTGGTCGAACCACCTTAAGGTTAGTGGCAGGCGCGCCAGGCTGGCCGATGCATCCCGGGCGAACATCGGTCAGAAGGTGTTATTGAGCTGGCCCATGCACAAACTCTTATAGCTGTCCTGGAAGAAGAAATCAACGGGACGATCTTGGAGGGGGTGGGCTGCTGAAGTGCTGAAGGGAAGGAGCTTGAAGGTTGCTTTGGGCCTCTTCCACCTTCCATGTTGGTCCTGAGATCCGGTGCTAAAAGTGAAGCCTCTGGGTCGAGAGGGTTTGCCCAACCACGAAACGGAATAGCCGATTTTGGAGGCCACACCAGCCTATAAAAATAATCAAAGCTCGCTTTAGCAGCGGCCGCAGGAAGCCGATTTTTTCTATCGCGCTCACAGCTTTGGCGCGCCTTAGAGACGCTCAAATGCCAGCTGAATGGCACATCAAAACAAAGCACTACGCAGAGATCACATTCACCAAGTGTCAAAGCACGTAAGGCCCCCACCCCAGCTATTCCAACAAATCTGGACACTCAGGGCCTAAGTTGGTAAGCATTTCCGCATCCAACCCAAGAAATGGGACAACTTTTTTACTGCCCGCGAGAGGCCGGTCGCTTTAGAACAGCGGAAGCTGGCCGCTTCAAAGCAGCAGCCTTGGCCGGGCGCTTCTTCACGGTTTTAGCCGCTTTGCGAGCCGCCTTCTGCGGCTGCTCGGGCACGGAAACAGCAAGCGCAGCCGTGGAAGGCGGCGCTGTGGGCGGGACATGTTCACCAGCCCTGCCTCGAGGGCTGTGGCCACGCAGCGCGGCGGTCAACCCAGTTTCAAGGGCCCTGACGTTGGACACCAGTAGGATCCGGTGAGTGTCGCCCAGGAGCCATCGAGTGCTGAAATATCTCTGTCATTTGTACTCAAGAAAGACATTTAGACTTTGCGGACGGTGCG